CATAATGTTGCCTCTTCTGGGGGGTCCTCAAAAAATCTAGTCATTGCTGTTTTTAAAATGCATCAAAGGATTCATAACCTAACACAAGTCCTTTCAACAGAGAAAAAGGAACCTTGAATTTTAGGTCCTGTTTAGCCTAAAGATTTCCACAACTTCAGATCTATATTCTTGGAGAAGAGTACTAGTGTTGGCTACTACTGATGCTTTGAGAATTTCTTCCTTTTCTCCATTACTCAAAAATATTCTTTCTTCCCTTTCTGAAAGAAAAAAATCGTGTCATCTTGTGCTTTGCTCAACCAGTGAATTTTTATGGTTTTTCATTTTGATCTCTCTTTTTCTTTGCTTGTTTGGTTTTGTTCTTATGTGCCGATGCGCTCTTCTCCCCTCTGCCTTTCCCTTGCCCCAGCTAGCTCTGGGGAGAAGGGGCGCGGGCAGATTTCCAGCGCTTCCCGCTGAACCTCGCGGGGCTTTGGGCAGCACTGTCGGAGTTTGGAGAGCAGTCAGTGACCCCACGGCGATTTAATGAAGAGAGTCTTTCTCCGGGGGGCGAATTCCGTTTTATTGTAATCCAACGGGGAATACAATAATTCAAAGGGAACCAGGCGGGCCGCGCCTGCGTTTGCCAGAGTGGTGCGAGCAGGGCGGAGCGCGCTGGAACCCTCCAGGAGAAAGCCCGGAGCGCGCTGCGCGAACGAACTAAATACGGAAGGGGGGAAACCCTGAGCAGCCAATGAGGTAAAGCCACGGGGGGTTTGAGGGTAGTGGGATACGGGGGTACATCCAATGAAGGACAGACAGGGGAAGGGTCCCGGGTCCTCTGCCTATCGCCCGGCGTCCTGGGTGGAAGATTCTAGGTGGGGGGGGAAGGGATACCGAGTGACAGACAGGCATCTGGGGTAAACAGGGTGAATGACTTGGCATTTTTGGGGCAACGGACCCGCGGGGAAAGACGGGAAAACCCGTGGAGAACCGTCACAGAACCGGGGGTACATGGAACAAACCTATACATAATACAAATGTAATAAAACATAAAAAAGACAACTCCACATCTCCCTCTTTTTTGTTTAAAAAGAAAAGAATGGAAAATAACTTAAACGGGGGATTCGCAGTCCTGCTCCCCATCATCGAACCAGATGTCCTCTGAGTGTTCTTCTTGGTCCTTTTCTGGGGGTTCGGCGTCGAGTGGTGTCAGCTCTGATGGGGCGGCGAGGACGGCGTGGTTGATATGAATGGTGGAGTTGATGGCTTTTACATTTGAATTTTTAACAACACTAAAACTCATAATAAAAACAATGAGTGCTAACAGCAACATAAGTCCAGTTTCCAAAATGGATTGGATCCAACCCATGAGACCTCATCCTTCAAAAGCGACCTCAGCCAGTCACTTGTGAGAGGGATGAAGCTTATTGACGCTGACATTGTGGGTTGGGTCTTGGGCAAGGTGAATGTCTGAAAAACAACTGAAACGTAAATTAGCACTCAAGGGAGGGGAGATCTAGATCAAAAGGGAACAGCGAGTCTAGGGAATTGGATGGGGAAAGGGAAGGCTCTGAGAGGGAAAGCGCTGAACTGGAAAGGAAAGGGGGAGACTTGCTCCATCTGCGGAGGGCTGCATGCCTCACCTGAGGATCTTCTTTCTTGTTGGTCTGGTGTTTAGGTACATATGGCCGGACAAATTTGGATGGGACCCATCTCAGGCCTGAGGGCGTGGACACGCAAGCGTATCCCCGTCCCCAGGTGACTAACTCATAGGGTCCTTCCAGCTGCCAGGTCTCGGAATCTTTAATGAGCACTGGCGGTTTCTCCCTGACCTTGCTCTCCTCATAGTTGCCAAAGTGCCTAGCGATTGGCGGGTTGAGGATTTCGAAAGAACAATTCAAGAAATTTAATGTGAAGAGGGCTCGCGCGAGTCAAACTTGCGGGGACTCAACCTTCATAGTTAGTGTTTGTTGTTTTAGCATACGCTTGAGACTCTGGTGAGTCCGCTCCACCACGGCTTGGCCTGTCGGGGAATATGGGATGCCGGTCTTATGCTCTATTCCCCATTGCTGCAGGAAGCTGGCGAACTCCTTGGATGTGTACCCAGGGGCATTGTCAGTTTTTATTAATTTTGGGACGCCCAGCATAGAGAAAGCCTGTATTAAATGCTTTTCGATGTCTTTGGCTTTCTCCCCTGTGTGGGCAGAAGCAAAGACTGCCCCAGAGAAAGTGTCCACGGAGACATGGACGTACTTCATCCTCCCAAAGGAATGGATGTGAGTAACGTCCATCTGCCACACTTCGCAGGACTTTAAACCCCTAGGGTTGGCCCCTGCGCTCACCGACGGTAAGGGGAGCGACTTACAGGACGGGCAGGTGGCCACAAGGGCTCTAGCCTTGTCACAGGTGAGGTGGAATTGCCGGACCAGACCGGGCGCATTCTGGTGGTAGAGTTGGTGGCTGATCTTAGCTTGCTGGAACTTGTCTGGGAGCGGCGCTATCTGCACCGGGGCAGCAGCGAGAGAGTCGGCACGCCGATTGCCCTCAGCCAAGAACCCTGGCAGGTTGGTATGTGACGTGATATGCATCACATAAAAGGGTTGCTCTCGGTGGGAGACTAACTTAATCAGATTTGAGAGCAACTTGTGCAGGGCCTCGTTGGACACACCCTGCAGGACAGCATCCTGCGCTCTGGACACTACACCAGCTACGTATGCTGAATCGGTTACCAAATTGAAAGGTTCAGAGAACCGCTCAAAAGCTCTAACGACAGCGGCCAACTCAGCTATTTGAGGGGAGCCTTCCACCTCCACAATATCTGTCTCCTACTGCTGAGTCTGAGGATCTTTCCAAGTTACTACGGACTTGTGGGATTCTCTGGACGCGTCTGTAAAAACTGTTAAAGCCTGGAGTGGCTTTTTGCTCTGAATTTGTTTGATGGATAATGCAAATTGAATTTCTGATTTGAAAATTTTGTGGGCCGGTCTCAAAACTGAAATTTTGCCCGTGTAGCTGTCTAGAGAGAACTGAAGAGATTCATTTTCCTGTAAAAGATGTTCTAGCATGGCCTTGGTGAATTGGCCCGATTCCAATTTGATTGGGATGTGAATGCATTTGAAGTCACATCCAGCTAACTCTCGGATCCGCGCTCTTGCTTTGCGGATCAGTTCTGCTACTAACTCTTGTGGCCTTGTCATTCTCTTGGACCGATGGTGACTTAGGAAGACCCATTCTATGATGGAGAGTGGGTCCCTTCGGCCCTGGTCCTTGCCCTTCTTTAGGGTGTCCGTCCATTGAAATATAACACCATGGAGGTGTGGCAGTCTGCCCAATATGATGAATTTAAAGGGCAGGTCCAGATCATACCGGTGGGCCTGTCTGGCAGACATTGTCTCCTGGACCTTATTCAAAGCAGCCTGGGCCTCTGGGGTGAGTTCCCTGGGAGAACTCGGCTCTTCCCCCCCTTTCAATAAATCGAAAAGAGGGGCTAGGTCTTTGTTTGTAATACCTAACCATGGCCTCACCCAGTTCAAAGAACCACACAGCTGCTGGATGTCAGCTAGGGTCTGAATTTTATTTTTGATGGCCAATTTTTGCGGAACAATGATCCGCTTGTTAATTTCCAAACCCAGGTACTTCCAGGGTGGCATCTTTTGAATTTTGTCTTCACGCAGCTCAAACCCTGCAGCAATCAACGCATCGGTTGTCAGGTTGAGCGCGTGTGTAAGGAGATCGCCGTTGGGAGCACAAATTAAGATATCATCCATATAGTGCTGGATGATCACGCCCTCAGTGGCTGCACGGACGGGGGTCAGCAATGAAGCTACGTACAAAAGGGGGACACTTGCACCTGCCTCACTGGGAGCTCCCTGGGAAGCACTTTCCTTAAGAAACAAGCCCCTGTCCTCCAAATGCATTACCCCAAATGTGCAGCTTTTCTGCTCAACACCAACACACCCTTAAGAAACGCTGGCAAGGCTGAAGGACTTCATGTCCTTTCAGGACAGGCACTCCAGCTCCAGCTGGTATTCCCCCAAGTACCTTTCCAGGTGGAGGCTCAGATGTGCAGCCCCAGGCCCTTTACAAACACAAGCTGCTCACTGCCTCTTCACCTGCCTCAACTCCTGCCTGCGCTCCCGGCACCAAGACCAGGCTGTTCCCAGCCAGAGCCCTGCTCCCGCAGGACGCTCTTGCCAGCACCTTCCAGGCCTCTCTGCTGCCTCTGCCACCAGCACAGCCCAAACACAGGCGGAGGAAGAAGCAGCAGGGGCCGTTTTGTGGCCATGCCCAAGAGAGACTGGAAGGGTGCCCTCCCTCTGCTCTCACTTGCTTGGCTTTCTGACTGGCTCCGAGCCTGGGGTGGCCATTCCTCACTTGTGGGCACCAGAACCACAGCCGGGATCCTGGCACTGCCTGACAGCGCTCCGGGCACTGGCAGGGTCGCGCGTCCCAGTCTCGGGCCCCGTGCTGCTGCTTCCTTTGCCCTCAGGCACACCCAAAGCTCCCTGCTAAGCCCGGATGATTGCTGGTTCTGCCCTCTCCCTGATCCTGTGCAGGGATGGAGCACTGCTGAGCCTTCAGGAAGGTATTCCTGAAAACTTCCAGCATTCCAAGATCCTTTGCCCTCCGTGGAAGCTTGCCATGGAATCCCTCACAGCTGGCTTCAGAGCATACTCAGGTTGGCTCTTCCAAATTCCAGGGGCTCCTGGCTGCTCAGCAAGATCTGCAACTCCACAGAGTTGTGGAACTGCACCTTCAGCACAGGCACCTTTCCAGCCTGATCTGCCCTCGTTCCTCTGTGTGTGTGCACAGAACACGGCTTGGAAGAGAACAGCAGCAGGGGCCTGCATGTCCCAGGGCCCGGGATTTGCGCCGCTTCAGCTCCACAGAGATGCAGGTAAGGGGGAAAAACCAAACTCTTTATTAATGGAAGGGAAAGGGAAGGGATGGGATGGGGGGAAAAAAAGGGGGATGGGCAGGGTCTGAGGGCTGGAGGGAAGGAGCTGTCAACAGGGAATGGGGAGGGAGCTGTCAACAGGGAATGGGGAGGGAGCTGTCAACAGGGAGGGGGAAGGCAGCAGCTATTGGAGCTTGCAGCAGGCACAGCTGTGGCCAGCATCCGGTGTGCCTGGAGCTCCAGTGACATTGAATCCTGGTGCTCTCTTCACTGTCTTCTGGTACTCTGCTTGGGACCCTGGTTCTCTGAATCCAGCAGATGACCTTAGTTCTGCACATCTTTGTCCAAAAATTGCCTGAATTTGCAGGTTAGTGGAGGATGGGTTGTCATCTTCACTCATGGCTTCAAGGACTGGAAGACAGATAAACTACCACAGTCAGAGCCCAGAGGGCCACCCAGCAATTCTGCTAAGGCCATCTCTCCCAGCTCCTGCCATGCCTAACAGAGATGAGGACCCAACGGGATCAGCCGCAAGGCGCTGGTCACGAATCCCCCCACTGGCGTCCCTGAAATCTCTCTGTGTCCTGCCCACACCAGCCCTCGTCCACACAAGGAGCGAAGCTGACCGCAGCTGGAACAGGCATTGCAGCTCTCCCGGCCAGCCCCCGCTGACAGCCCGCTGCCCTCACTCACCCTGAGTGAGAACGTGAAGCTCGGCTGGCTGTCCCTTCAGGTAGTGCCCGGCCATCCCTGGGAACACAGAGCCTGTCAGGCCCAGCAGCACAGCTCCCTGCCAGCGGCGCTGGCAGCCCTGGGGCCACACGCCCTCCTGGCCGGCAGGGCTCAGCCCGGACCCTCGCCGCACGCTGCCGCCCCAGGGCACGGCTGCCAGAGCAGCAGGCGGGGCTGGGGCCGAGCTGCGGCGGGGCGGGGAAGGAGCCCGGGCTCGTGGCTCACCCATGAACCTGACGGCCGCCTCTCGCAGGGGCTCCTGTGGGCTCTGCAGGTAGGGCAGGGCCCGGCGCAGGTGCTCGGCCGCGCTGCTGCTGTCCTCTGCCAGCTGCAGAGAGCGGCAGGAAGGAAGGGTTGGCCCCACAGCCCCGCCGGGCCGCGGCTCCATCGGCACCCGGCTCGGGCCCGCAGGAGCCTTGGAGCAGAGCCGGCGCGGCCTCGGGCTGCAGCAGCGGGCAGGGGCACAGCTGCCAGCCCGCACACCGAGCACCGCGCTCAGGGGGCTTCTCCAGGCTGAGGCTGTGGCTTCCCGGCCCTCCTTACCAGGCACTCGGCAAACTTTGACAGCTGCTCCTTCTTCAGCTGCAGTTTGAGATCACTCCTCTTCAAAAACTCGGCCGCACCAAGCAGGGTTTCCCAAGAAGCCTGGAGAGCAGCAGAGACCCAGAGATGGCCCCAGAGCCCAGGGCACAAGACCTGTGTCCCTGTGCCAAGGCCTGGAGGAGGCTGCAGCCCGCCAGGCGCCAGGGCAGGAGGCAGCCCAGCCCCCTGCCAGCATCATGCAAATGCTCACCTTTGCCACCTGCCAGTTCTCATCATGACAGTAGATAAAAAGTGCCAACAGGCTCTTGTTCACAGTTGTCTTCAGGGGCTTTTTTCCCTCATCCACTACCAATTCCATCACCTTACAGAAGAGTTGAATGGAGAGCAAGCGCACATGGCTGTTGTCCTAGAAGAAAGGAAAAGACCTACACCAGCTACTCCAGGCCCACCTGGGCAAAGACCTGAAAATCCGCAGGGCACAAAGTTTCTGGGAAGCAGCCAATGCCTGTGGCTCAGCATGCAGAACCTTACGTGGTCAAAGAGCAGCAGGAGTGTCTCAGTCAGCTTTGGGGCAGTGGTGCTGGATACCAGGATGTTTTGGTGCTGGAGCACATTCATGAACACACGGAGGCTCATGCTGACCACCTCTGTACCTGGAGCCCCCAGCAGCTCCAGAAGCCTTTGAGACAGCGGGTAAATTCTTCTGGCCTGTGCAGAACACAAGGCTGTGCCGGGAAGCCGTGGACGGCTGCACGGCCAACACTGCCCTGGCACTGCAAGCCCACCCTGCTGCTGCAGGGCCCACAGGCCGAAGGCCTGTCCCAAAGCACTGGGGCAGGTGAGGAAGGAGAGCTGGGAGCAGCTGCCTCAGCTCCTGAAGCCCTGCCAGCCCAAGGGGCTGCTTTTCCCAGTGCAGCTTCAACCACTGCCCCCTTCTCACCATCCAAGGATCCTTGGTGAGCACTGTGAGGCCTCGGAGCGCCAGGTGATGCCTAAGACAGCATTCACTCCAGAGGTACCTTGCCATGGTCTTCAGAGTGCTGCCACGACATTTACTCAAGTCCAGGCACTCGAGGGCCTGAAAGGCACATGGCAGTGACAGGGGACCCGGCTGGCAGGAGCCCAGAACCGCACAGGCCTGGGCCCAGGCAGCAGCACGGGGCGTGGGCACCGTCCCAGGCAGCTGCGGCTGTGAGAGGGCAGAGAGCTGGGAGGCAGCTGAGCCAGGCAGCGCTGGCCAACAGGCTTACCTCCACCAGGAATGCCAGGAAGGGCACATCCCAGCATGGCTCTTTCCTGCTGTGTGGCCAGAGCAGGCGTAATGCAATGCTGGAACAGAAGTGGTCCAAGACGTGGCACAACTCCCTGGCAAGGGGGGAAAAAGGCCCTGAGGTGAAAAGGCCAAACCCCTCACAGGAGTGACTCACAGAAATCTGGTCTTTCCCCAGCATCGCTGGAGAGGATGTGGGTGCTTTGTGAGGCAGCCCCTTCTGGGCACTCTCCTCTCCAAGCCTTTTCCAGTTTCCTTGGCTGTCCCTCGGTGGAAAGGCCCTCTGGCCCATGACCACAGGGACTGTGAGGGGCACCTGGGCACAGGGCACAAATTGGGGACCGTGGGGAGAAGGGGGTCTCACCTGGCCAGCAGACCCACAGCATAGTGCTGGGTGTCAGCACACAGCAGCATGTCCCAGCCACGCTTGCGCTCCATAGCCAGCACCACATGGTCCCACTGCAGTCGGCAGAGCAGAGCCTTCATGGCCTGCACTGCAAACCTGTGTGCAGAGCAAAGCCCAGGTCACACTGGGAGCGCTGGCACTGGCCACAAGGGCACAGGAAGGACAGGGGGACTGGGACCTGTTGGGCTTGCAGTGAAGGTGGTGTTCCTCCCAGCATGCTCTCCAGAATGTAGCAACTTCCACTGGTGTTATCTGCTGTGTGGTGATGACAAGATGGAAGAGCAGAGCCACAAACAGGCGGGAGGAATAAAGGTTCATTGCCTCCTGGCACTCAGGCACCTGGAGAATCACCCAGAGACCCAGAGTTGCCTGCAAGAGAACAGCCCAAGGCAGCGCTCAGTGCCAAGGTGTCCATGGGGCAGGGCCCAAGAGCCGACGCAGGGGGAGCAGTGGGCCGGGTGCCCCCTGAGCCTGGCCCTAGCCCAGGTTTCAGCCCAGCAACTGAGGGATGGAGAGGATGAAGAGCTTCTGGCAACCTGGGGGTGAGCAAAGGCCAGTTCTAGAAACTCACAGCCAGGGCAAAGGCATCCTTGTTGTCCCCATCAGAGGTGCACATGCTGTGCAGAGGCCAGTTCTCCATCACGCAGAGCAGCACTGGCAGCACCTTTTCCACTGTGGGACTCGACGAGCCTATGGTTCTCCATATCATTGCAGCGGCTCTGTGGGATCAGAGCTCTGTGTCAGGGGCAACTCAATCACAGCACCATGCCCTGTGCACCCGTGGGGGCCCAGGTGACAGAGCCTCAAAGGGCATGGGGGGAGTACTGGCAGCAGGCTCAGCAAACAGGCGCCTGAGGCTCCTGGCCTCTCTGCCTGTCTGGCAGAGCCCATTGCACAGGCTGTGCAGGGCCATGGGCCCTAAAGGCTGCTGAGCCCTGAGCTCTCAAGGCTCGTGGGCCCCGTACCTGTCACACGTTGGGGCACAGCGCAGGAGGGTCAGCACCACGTCAGCAGGGTGTTCTTCAGCCAGCCTCAAAATGTCAGTCTGCAGCCAGAAATCCACAGTGACTTGGGACATGAGACGCTGGTGGATGTTCTTCACCTTGGCTGGCACCTGGAGGAAGCATGGGGGAGAGATGGAACGTTGTCCAAGGGAACAACTTGCCCAGCTATTTCAAAGAAGTGCTTCCCTTCTTCCACACTGTGCTGGCCTCAAAGGCTGAGGGGGCCCAGAGACCATGGCTTGAGGGGACACACGATGCTGGGAGGCCTCCAGGCCTGGCCCTAGGCTGCTTACCTGCGGTTGCTGAGAAGAAACACGAGGGTCCTTGAAATAGTCGAATATGAGTTCCTGACTCAGAGTGGGAGAGGGCATGGTGTCAGTATTTGCGATGCCCTGAGTGTCTCTGGTTTTGGCGTTTGTGATGTCCACATCCTCAGTCACTGCCATGTCAGCCTTTGCCCTCTGGTCATTCCTTGCAACCTCAGAGTCTTCTGAAGGTTCCGCTGGATCTGGGCTGTTGTTGGTATTTGTGATGCCCTGAGTCCCTTCATTGTTAGTGTTTGTGATTGCCACATCCTCAGTCATTGACGTGAGAAGAATCTTCGTCCGGGTTTCAGTCACTGAGGTGTCACAGTTCTCTGAGCGCTCAGGCGAATCTGGGCTGACATCAGGCTCAGCCTGGAGCTTGGTCAGCCCCGACTCAGGCTTGGCCGGGCCCTCAGCTGCTGCGCTGCCGGTCTTCCTGCGTCGAATGCGCGGGAACTTCCAGAACGTCTGTAGGAGAACAAAGGAAATGGAAGCCAAGGATGTTCCATGGAGTGCTCCAGGCATGGTGCTGGGCTGAGCAGTGACAGCAGGCCCAGCCCAGGTGGGGATGGCTGCAGGCACCTTCAGGGTTTTGCGGAAGCATCCATGGGCGGGTTCCTTCTCTTCTGTGTGGTCCAGGGCTGCATCTGGCAAAGAGCGAGTGTAGCCAGAGCTGAGGGGCTGCGGGAGAGGCCGGAGAACACAGCCCAGCCCTGCGCTCCCCAGGCAGGGACAGCCCCAGGATGCCCCAGGGGATGGAGCATGGCCACTGCAGGGTGTCTGTCCAGGCCCTCTTCCCTCCTGTCCATGGGCACATCCCCAGGGAATGGGATGGGATGGTGGGGCGGGGCTAAGCTGGCTGCAGGCATCAGCCCTGTGGCCCTGCTCTGCCACTCACCGTCCTCCGGTGGCTGGAACTGCTCCAGGTTTTCATGCTGTTGTGGTGAAGCAGCTTCAGGGCCTTTCTTTTTTTTCCCCCTGAACACTCTGAACAAGCCGAGAAGTCTGTCCACCATGCCAGAGTCTGGTATCAAGGGCACCTGAAAGAGAGATGGCTTGGGAAAGCTCCAAGTGAACAAGTCCTCAAGGGCACCTACAAAAGAGAAGCCTCGGGAAGGCCACGGGCTGCCAAGTCCTGTGGTCTTGCCACGAGGTCACCTGTAGGAGTAAAGCCTCAGAAAAGCTCCGGGTCAGGCACGAACGAGCGCGCTGTGCAGGGGCTCCTCACGGCACTGCTCTGTCCCGTCCTGTCCAGTCGCCTGCTCTGAGCAGAGTGGCATGCTCTGGTTAGTGCCAGCTCCTATGTCAGCACGTGTCACAAAGGCCATCCTGTCCCGTTCTATGCCATAGTGACCATGCTGCACCATGTCACAAAGGGGCCTTGCACACACTGCCACCTGCCCTGGGGCCACGCCCTGCCCAGCCAAAGTGGCCCAGGTTGGAAGGAATCTCTGGCCCCAAGTGTCTGAGACAGCCCAACAGGATCTTTAGGAATGGCTCAGACCATCAGCAAACGCTGCCCTGCTCTGCAGGCTCCGGGCAGCAGAAGGAGCCCCTAGGGTTGCCGACGCAGCTGCGCTGGGAAGGGCACGAAACCTTCCATGGAAGCTGCCACGGCCTCCTTGGGACGCGTCCCGGCCCGTGGCCATCCTAAAACGTGGGTGTGGCACGCACAAGGAACTGTGGGCCAGGGTATGAATGCTGCTCTGAGCCCTGGGGCCCGGGGAACGCTGACACCAGCAGCTGTGGCAGAGTCCCTGCCCTAGCAGACCTGCCAGCCCCTGAGCCCTGGCAGGGCTGGTGCCCATCTCCTGCCCCAGAGACCTGTGCCCCTGGGAGCCTTCTGTGCCAGAAGGGTCCGCACCCACGTGCACTGGGGGCTGTGCTCCTTCCTGCAGGGGCTGTTGGCAGGAGCACCTGGAGCAACTGCTGCCAACAATGAACAGAGGGCAAAATGGTTAACCCTGCCCCAGTATAGACATCTAAGTGGCCAATAAAGTACAGCTCTCCCCTCTTGTTCCCTGCAGCACAATCAGGACCATGAACACAAACAGTCACAGATATTCTTTCTGAGACCCCATGAGCAAGGCTGTGCCAAACTACAGATGCTGCCTTCAATGGACTCAAATTCCAACCTAGACCTCTCCCTCCCAGACAACTCCTTCCCCAACCCATCTCCAACACCAACACCCTGCAAACACCGCACCAAAGCCCTCAACAGCCCGCCAGGACCCCAGCTGTCTCCAACCCTCCACTGAGCTTTCCCTCCCTCCAGCAGACTCCCTGGTTCCCTGCACGTGCTGTGGGATGGCACTCAGGAGGATCTGCTCCAAAGCCTTCCCCGGCAGCAAGCTCAGGCTGCCAGGCCTATGGATCCTGGATCATCCTTCCCACCGAGCCTTCCATTGGCACGGCTCTTCCATTGGCATGGCTCTTCCATTGGCACATCTGCGCTCAGCTGGGACTACTCCACTCACTCAGGGCTGCTGGGAAAGGATGGAGAGCAGCCTGGCAAGCTCTTTCTCCAGCTCCCTCTGTGATCTTGGGGAAGGTAGAACCTTCCACAGGAAAGCCACTGGTGCCACAAGGAGTGGGAGGCATCAGGCAGCTCTGGGAAAGCCCCTCAGGAATGCTGTATCCTGAGGGAACACTGTTGGCCTTGACCTGTGGGCACCTGCAAAAGCTTCAAATCAGCTGCCTCAGCTTCCAGGGCCTCTCTTGGCCAGCATCCTGACGTGGATGCAGGACAGCTGCCAGGCACTGCTGGGACCCAGAGGGACAGGACCGGCTGTCTCGTGTCCACGCAGCAGCCCTGAAAAAGCCAGGGCCATCCCGAGAGCAGACAGACGCTCATGGGCCAGCAGAGAGGAGCAAAGAGCACTGCACTCCTCTCAGCGTATCTCAGCTGCGCTCGCTCCACAACACACCCCCATTGGAAGGCCTGCTGATGCCCAGCTGCCAGAAATGCCTACCTTGTGCTCTCCAAGATGCACAGGGAGAGCCAAAGAGCAGGACACCTTGGCAGGCAAACCTTCCAAGCCTTTTCTGAGGCCAGGCACACACCAAGATCAGCCAAGGCTCTCCACCACGCTGCCTGGCCCACCCAGCCCAGCTCTGTGCTGGCCCTGGGCCACAGCAGCTCTCAGCAAGCAGGAGGCAAATGCATCTTGCCAAGAGATGCAACACAGCAGACAGGGAAGATGTTGAAAGTGAGTGTGTAAAGGCCTTTTAATTCACAGCTCCCACAGAGAGCTCTGGGGCTCACAGATGGACAGAGATGGTTCTGCTCACCCCTCTGTCCAAAGGGGAGGTAACACACGCTGCTGCAGGTGCTTGGGTTGGTCTCTGCAGGTCCAGGTGGATGCCAAACCTGCTCTTCACAGCCTTCTCCCTTCCCCTGTCCCTCTGCCAAGTGCAGTGGGCCTCAAGGACTGAAAGGAGCACAGAGAGCCAAAGGGGGACACTTGCACCTGCCTCACTGAGAGCTCCCTAGGAAGCACTTTCCTTGAGAAGCAAGCCCCTGTCCTCCAAAGGCATTACCTCAAATGTGCGGCTTTTCTGCTCAACATCAACACACCCTTAAGAAACACTGGCAAGGCTGAAGGCCTTCATGTCCTTTCAGGACAGGCACTCCAGCTCTAACTCAGTCCAGGTCCACGCTGGGTCTTCGCCAAGTCCTTGCCAATTCCTTGCCAAGTTCTTGCCGGGCCTCGTTCGGAACAGAACATAACGGTACAGCAGCTACACCTGCACTGTTGCCTTCTCCAAGCCGGAACTGCAGTGGGGGAAGGGAGTTCCTTCTCGTGGCAATCGGCAGGCAAATGAGTGAGGGTCTTCAGACGGCCTCTTACAGGCTGGCACACCTTGGCCCAGCTGGACAGCTGCCCCTCAAGCCCCCGGCGAGCAGGGGACGGCTCTGGGCAGGCTCCCTGGCCAGGAGCGGGCCCCAGAGCGCCTCTGCCTTTCAGGGGCAATCTCGTCCCCGCTCTTTCTCCTCCCCACCTTGCTGTGCCTCTGCCCTGTGCCCCTGGGGCTACTCGTGGCCAGGCAGCCTCAGTGGGAGCCAGCACTGGCTGCAGCCCCAGCGGGCCCCCCAGGATAAGGCCCAGCAATGAAGAGGCCAAGGAAAGCACTGGGCAGCAGCAGAACCCTCAGCCGAGTTCTTTGGACAGCCATGGACGGGCCACAACTCCACTGCAGCCTGACTGGAAATGTTTCCCATCTACATTAGACTTTTAAAAGAAACTGTTTGAGGGAAAGATGATGAAAACACTCACCGTTTTCTCTTGCAGTAACACCAGATTCCAACACAGGTGAACATGAAGGAAAGCTCCAAAAAAGGCAGACCTGCAATTAACTGTAGCAAACAGTGTGTTTCCCAATAGCAACCACTTCTGAGGCTGTTCTGGACATCAGGAACAGGTGTTGTGGGGCCGGCAGCATCTGTGGGAGCAATGGGGAGCGTGAGCCCACGCTGTGCTGCACTGCTGAGGTGGCAGCATGGTGGATACGGCCAGGACGTTCTCTGTTTGCCCCAGAGCTGGGGCCTGCAGGCACATTGCCGCCCCTTGGCACAGGCTGTGCCACACAACAAAGCCCAGCAGGCTGTCAGGAGAGCCCAGGGCCAGCGCAGCTGCTTGGGCTGTCGCTGCTTGGAGGGACAGGGACCAAACCCATCCCTGAGCAGCCCCTGCCAGCCCTGGCCCTCCCTGCCCCGTGACAGCTCCCTCAGCCCCAGGGGACAGAGCCAGGCCCTGTCAGGACCCAGTGCAGCCCCTGCCCAGTCGAGAGCCAGGGCTGGCTCTGGCCCTGGGCTCAGAGCAGGGCTCCCGTTCGGGGCTGCTCCTGTGCCTGGGGCCTCTGGGCACTCAGGGCTGGCTGTGGGAGCAGCTGCAGCGGGAGGGACATAGTTGGTGCACGAGTCCTGATTCCCTGGGGTTGTGAACGAGCTCCAGAGGCCTGGAAGCCGAGGCACCTCCCGCTTTGGCTGCTGCTGGGCCGTGCAAGGGCAGGGCCTGGGGGAAGAGCTGCTGCCACACAGCCCCACTGAGGGCTGAGCCCGGCACAGCAATCACCTCCTGTGCCTGTGCCCGTGCCTGGCATCGCCTTCCTTCCTGCAGCAGAGGTTGGCACTGAGCCACTGCTTCCTCCGGGATGTGCCTCCTTCTGCAGAGATGTTTGGTCCATTTCTTGAGAAAGGAAAAGAGACAGCTGGATCAGATGGAACCATCTGCCATTGAGGGAGGTGGCATCTTCAGGAGGCAATGCTTTTCAAATCATGGTTAAGGATCAGAAAACCATCTGGGTTTTGGGACTGGGCCAGGGCCCTCCCTCCTTCAAGCACCTGCCAGGCCTGAGCAGAAGTCATGAGGGGATGGCCCAGGGCGAGGGCACACTCGTGCATGGTTCTGTCCTGGCACCTGCAGCGATGCCTCCCTGGCCAAGCTTTGGGCTCTGAGCTGGCAGCTCTCCCAGGGGGAAAGGTCTTGACCCATCCTCACCATCTCCCAGAGCCTCCATCCTGAACGTGGGTTGGGAAGCCAGATCACTTTCACCAGCAGGGTTATCTGCAAAGAAAGGCAGGACAGAACAGCTCCTGTGACACTGCAGAAGACCCTCAGGCTGCACCCAAGGCTCAGCCCTGGGGCACAGCCCTGGGCTCGGCCCCTTCCCTCTCTGCTCTTCTCTGGGGCCGCACAGAGCACACGGAAGGACACTCTGGCATTGCACACAGGAAGAAAACTGACAGCTAAATGCTCCTTCCTCCCACTGACAGTGATCCTGTGGGATCACTCAGGGTTTGAGAAGGGGGTAGGGCAGGGTTTCCCAATCTCAACAGCCTTCAGACTCTTAAGGGAATGGCACATGATTGGGCTTTTGCAACATGGACATTGATTGTTCTTTCAGGAAGAGGGACATTGAGAACTTGCCTCCAAAATTCTCCAAGGATTTAAAACTCTCTTATGCTAGGCCTCCCAGATAAGCCATGTCACGATCCCAATCTAGACAGAAGCACAGATCAGAAGCATTTCCATGCTGTTCTGGGATCTCCTTCTGCCTTTGGGAACTGGGCACTGCAAGGGGGTGAGGTAAGGCAGTGGGAGCCAGATGTGAATGTCCACAAAAGCTGCACAGAGGCCTGGAGAGCCCTAGAGTGGCTCCTGGTCACTCTCCACCCTCTTGGCAGGCCCTGTGCAACATTCCTGGAGGGATTTCTGAACCTGCCCGGGGCCCATGGTGGTTCTCTGACTCCGACAGAGGAAACCCTCACTAATTTCCTGAGGGAATGTGCAGCATGCAGTGCCACAACTATTCCTTCTTGCCTATCTCTGCTTGGTCAGCTCAGACCGGCCAAGGAACAGTCAGACCCTCTCACACAGGTCAGGCCCTTGGGGAAGAGCTTCTGCCACACAGCCTCACCAAGTGCTGAGGCCAGCACTCAATTACCTCCTGGGCCTGTGCCCATGCTTGGAATTGCCTCCCTTCCTTCAGGAAATGCTGCCGTCCATAGAGAGTCTCTGTCCATCCCTTGAGAAAGGAAGAGGCACAGCTGGATCAGATGGAACCATTACACACCAGGGGGGTGGAAATTTCAGGAGGCAATACTTGTCAAAGACATGGATAAGGATCAGGAAAAGGCCCAGGCCAGGAGCTCCCTCTTTTCCAAACCACCCCCTCTCCTGATCTTCTGGGGACTGGGAAATTGCAGGGGACATCAGGGTGTGCATGGCCCGTGGCACTG